CAATAGGTAGCTTTTGGAATTGAATCAAAAACTTGACCATTACTAGTTTCTTCAGCAAAATAAGTAGCAGTTCCAAACATAAAAGCCAATAAAGTCAATATAATAATCAAAATAATAAAATCCGTAAATGATTCTTTTAATGTTGAACTAAGAACACGTAATGATTTCAATTGATTAAAAATTAAATAAATTTTCATTAAACGTAAAAATCTTAATATTCTTAATACACGTAAAACAGTAATAAGACTTCCATTTAATTCTAATTCTTTATGATGTAAGTCAATACCTAAAAATATAAAATAAGGTATAATAGTACTTAAATCAATCCAATTAAATATAGATAAAATAAATCTATAATATGATGGTGTACTAATTAAACGTAAAATAAATTCAATTGTAAAATATGAAACACATATTGTTTGAATTATAAAAAATGGTGAAGAAAACATTGCTAAACATAATGATGAATCACTATCTGATAATGTTATATTATTTTCTTTTTCACATAATTTACCATATTTTTCATTATAATTTGGTAAAGTTTCAACAGCTAATGTAATACATGATATAACAGTTAATAACATTGATATTAAATTAAGAATTCGAGCAAATATTGAATGTTGAGGATATTCAAGATAAAACCAAATATAACGACGCCAAAACAAATTTGGTAAATCAATATATTTAATAATCGAAACATTTTCTGATTTACTTATTTGTGAAACAGCTTGGGGACCTAAATCAAAAAATGAAACTTCTTCTAAAAATGTATCTAATGGAACATAATCTGGTCGACGAAGACGTCCACCTGATTGATAATAATAAAGTATTGCTTCAAAACAAGCTCGATGACGATCAAAAAAATATTCTTCTTCTTGTTCATCCCAATAATACATTCGTTTTTGTTTATTACCCAATAATGTATTTGGATATCTTTCAAGTGTAGATGAATATGTTTGATAATGTTTACCACTAACATTTATTGTTATTTTATTATTTTGTTCATCATTCTTTCGTTTTCTTGATGGAGAATCATAATTATGTTTATTAATTTGAATTAAACTATCATTTACACATATTAAAGCTTTACTATAATAATTAAATTACATATATAATATATTAAATTTGACAAAATTTATTTTTTAAACTCAACCTAAGAATTTTTCGTCGACTTTTTAGTGGATTTGCAATGTTATCTGTCCATTTATTTGAAGTATGTTTTCTACTAAATTAAATTAGAAAAAAAGAAATTTTTTTTTTTTTCGAATTTAAAATGAAACTAACCCAAAAAATGTTTGTTGAATGCTTTTTTCTTTTGATGATGAAGATTGATTATTTATTGAACTCATTTCAATATGTTCATTTTGATTATTCTTCGATTGATGAAATATTTTCATCTTATTTATTTCGTATTGTTACTCAAATGATGAGCTGAGAAAGGTAAAGAGAAAAGAAAAGAGAAAAAAGAAAAAAAGAAAAAAAGAAAAAAGAAAAAAAAAGAAAAAAAAAGAAAAACCTTATACATCATATTATATAAAATATTACTAAATATACTCGTCAAATAAAATAAGTCATGTGAAAAGAAAATAAATACAGAAAGAATAAATCATATTCAATTCGTTTGTTTTTTTTTCTATCACAAGACAATTTTCGTCGAGAATAATATTCAATAGAGCCTAGCGGGGCGAATGTATAGACTTTTTCAAATTTTTCACTTGCACACTTAATATCTCCGTTGATATTGGCGATAGAAAAAAAATTTCTTCACAAAAGATGTAGCCAAAACATTTTTCTTTCGTTTGTCGTTTTCTAATCTCAGATATCTTGTCGGATACCAAATCTACAGCTGTTTTACCGAGACCTACTNGCTTCTTCTGTTATTAAGATAAGACATGTTGCTGTAGGTGAATCAGAATCTTTTTGATATAAACAATTCGTCATTTGTTTCTCCAATATTTTACCGCACTCATCTTTTCCAATACAACCCATGCAAACAGTAATATCGGGTTGCTCAAGTAACCACTATATAAATATAAAAATGTCCTTCGATTTATCAAAAAATTATTCTTACACTGATCGTTTTTAATGTATTTTGTGTTGAACCACCAGCAGAATAATTCAAATGATAATTTCCATTGGTAAAAATTTCTTTTAATCTGTATGAAAACGAGAAAAACATAACTGATGATTGAATATAGAAAGATGACTACACTTGCATATCATCGTATTTTGACACGTTTTGTGCTAAAACAGCACTGTTCGCTTGCAAATTATATCTTGAAAATAAACATAGAATCTGCTCAAATAAATATCTACATTCACTTCATACTGTTACCGTTGCAGAAATTCATATGACACTTGTGTACTTATGTCTAACATTGGATGACCAAGTCCAAAAAATGTACCATCACTATTGAATTTGAATATAGAATGTAAGAATAAGATCAATTTTTTTCGTCTAAAACTAACCTCAATTGTGTATTGACTATTGATATCATACTGAAAGGAAAAGCCAAAATTACTTGCTTACATAAAACCAGAATTTATATTCTTTTTTATATTTTTCTTTCTTATCTTTCTTTCGTTCTTCACATTATTTTCATACTCGAAGAAAAGAACTCAACGTAAATAACATACTGCACACGTGAAACGTTTTTGTTTATATAGTTATAGGCATAATATTTGATTTTGTTGAGACGAAGAAAAAATACAAAGCGCACTAATCTTTGTATGACACAACACAATACTAATAAACGGGTGTGGGTGTGAGACAACACTAAAGAGAATCCCGCACCCACATCTTAATCAATCGAATAGAACATTAATATCTCTTATACGCCAATAAATTCGATAAATTAATTGTTAAGACTTCTATCAGTTGAGTAAATAAAATCATCTCTAATTATATTTGCATCTAATATTCTTGTAAATTTCATTTACATCGACGTAAAGAATCGACTGGTTGGATTGTTATGTGGAAAGAAATTTCAATAAAAAATTGTTTTATATTAAAAGTATCATATGCTAAAACGAGCATTGTGTAAGTTTTATTATTATTTCAAATAAATTTAACAAGCCAACATACTTAAATATTCAATAGATTTTTATTCTATCGTTTTGCTAAAAACAAATCTTGATAAAAATGTAAAAAACTTGAGAAAAATTCATTCTGTTAGATACTCCTTCTCAATTTATGAGTGTTTTACAAACTTCTCAACCCAATGTAAAGTATTTCGAACAAAATCTCGAATGACATTTTGTTGATTGGAGATTTTTCTCGTCGGTGGGGATCAGAGTCAATAGGATATTCGAAAGTTTTCAACCGAAATCAATACTTCTATCTTGAGATAATGAGTATTTCAAATAATTGGCGTGTCGGTGTATATTAGGCATGTAGCGAACCCGAACTCGAGTTCGAAGTTCGGACCGAACGGTTCGGGATTCGGGTTCGGATTTGGGTTCGGTCTTAGGGTTCGGTATCAGGGTTCGGGTTCGGATTTGGGTTCGGTCTTAGGGTTCGGTATCAGGGTTCGGGTTCGGAGTTCGGGTTCGGGTTCGGGTTCGGTCTTAGGGTTCGGTGTCAAGGTTCGGGTTCGGAGTTCGGGTTCGCGTTCGGGTTCGGGTTCGGGTTCGGGTTCGAGTTCGGGTTCGGGTTCGGGTTGGGATTCCTATATTTCGAAGTAGAGCGAACAGTAATACATTATAAAGAGCAAGCTTTTCCATCCTAATTGTCTTCCAGGGAATTCAATTAGAATGAGATGGAAAGAACAAGAGAGCTTGCTAATCAAGATTAAATGAATCTTGATCATCTGCATATTATGGAGGACTGTAAGTGAGAATTTATCTAAGTAAAGTACGACTTTTGTACAGAATAACGTTATCTGTAGTATATAAATAATGCTGTACTATCGAAAACATCATAAATTGCATTATATCTCTCTGAAAGTATTTCTGAGAGAAAACCTTTTTGGCTCACTAATATTGTGTACTGTGTAAGTATATTATCGAGTAAAAAAACTTTTCTTCAGATTGATATATTTCTTGAATGACAACAGTAGCATGTTAACTTCTGTATACAAGATAAACGAAGCATTCTTTGTTTTCAATATATTGCATAAGATTTTCAAGCGATCTTCATGAAATAAAGTTAGATGTTATCTAACTTATACATATAAACTATCTTTGAGAAAAATATTTAGTTGTAAATCTATGTGAAAACTTACAATGCGAACAAGCCATAACAATGAACTCTTCGTATTGCAGATGAGATATGCATGTACAAACATTTTGCACTCACTCTTGTAAATAAGCACAGAAAACTAATAAAGCTTCAATAATTTTTAGAGATAAATAACTTTTCCTTTATGACATAGTAGTCAACAAAATAAATTTTATTTATTTCTGATATACAAGAAAAATACTTTTACAAAATATTTAACATGAAAAAGATAACAAAAAAAAACATTGTACACAAAACAAAAAACTAGAATTTTTTTTAATACATAAGATATTTATGCATTATCAATTTAATTTTCATTTGACAGTTTATCTTTGAGAAAAACGGAGAATCCAAGATTTTCTGAAGAAAGTCGAGCTCGTTGTTTACGGCCATAATAGGCAGACATGCTAAATGCTGATTCAGATTTTGTACTGGTACTTGGAGAAGCTAAATATTTTTGTGCAAGTGGTGCCAAATTGGGCAATAACGACTTGTTTGTCTTCCAAAATTGAAGTGAATGATGTAAATCAGTTGATGTTGATACAAAGTGGCCAGCTAATTTTTTGTAAGTTTTAAATTCATCATTTAATATCTTATTTAACGTTGAGGATTGCTTTTTGACGTGTTGAGTATCTTCATCAGCTAATGAATCAAGAAAATAATTGAGTAATGATTTTTTTTTCTCGTTTTCTGTTGCTGATGATCCATTTGTATTTGAAGATGTTGTTGATGATGCTTGTGTTGAACTGTTTGATGTTTGTTGACGAATTATATATTTTATTTCATTTTCTATTTTGTTAATTTCATTATTTGTCATAACTGATATACCATAAGGATCGAAGTATCCATACAACTAGAACAAAAAAAGCAGTTTATTCACATAATTTAAAAGTATATCAATAATATTAGAGGCTGCTCACCATAATTATTTTCGTTTGTGATGGATCTTTTACCATATTATAATAAATCATTTTACTTAATAAACATTCTTTCATATTGTTGAATAATGGATCATCTGTTGGGCTAATATTGGATAACAAATCTTTTTCAAGACGACGAAAAATAAATAATGTAATTCCTATTGTCGGATAATCACTACCACTAATTGCCTTAGTAGCTCGATAAAACGGTTTCAATATTTTAATTAATAATTCAATTACATACCAACAATCACTTCTCAATTCTAATGCATTTAAACGTTGTTGTTGTTTTTTTGTTATATCCAAATTTGTTTTATTTTGAAATAATTCAATGATTATTGGTCGGTATATATTTAATGTGTGCAACATCTTGTACGTTGAATTCCAACGAGTACGTACATCTAGGAATAATGAACACTTTACTTTACTATCATTGTATTGATTATATTCTTGTTTTTTCTTTTTAATGAATGATGATAAAATTGAAGAATCTTTTATAATATCAATAAGTTGTCGACTTTCTAGATATAAAAATCAAAGAGAATACATTTTGGATTCTCAAAAAAGTCAGCAAACATATCGATTTATGCGATATAGTAATAAAAAATATAGCTCACTTTCGACAACTAAACAAATACGTGGATCAGGTTCAGGTGATAATAGATCAGAAGTTTCACTTGGATGTACATCAATACCAACTTCAAAGTTATTTTGATATGAATCATCTGAACCTTCGATATCTGATTCACTATTGATAGAAATCGAATCACCTTCATCTGAAAAATTACCACCGTCATCATCTTGATTGATATTATTATTATCTTCTTCATCCTAAAATAAGGAGATGACAAACAATCAAGTCATATGTGAAAGTTAAATAATGCTTACTGAATCTTCTCTTTCATCATCTGTGTCAGGATGTTCACCATCACTTTGAACAACATGTACTTCATTAATTAATTGTTCATCATCAATTATATTAATTTTTTGTAAGGAATCACTAAGACGTATTTCAGAATCATGTAGATTTGTATCATTAGTTGTAGCCTTTATTTTTTCTTTATTATCGATCCAGAGACCAAGGCCATTACAAACAATAAGATGAAGGAGGTGTGCATGACAACGAATACGTGTTATATCAAGACGTGAAAAGTAATCAAACATTTTAATCATATTTGGCGCAGAATCACATGTGATGCTCGTAACTTTATCAAAAACTTGTAATTCAATTAAGAGTTTCTCGATTTCCAAACCAATCAAATGAGAAAAGTGTCTTTTTTCAAAAGAACAAAATCGTAGTATCGTTGATTTCGAAACAAAATCGTTTGTGACATAATGACCAGTTAATACTAAAAACGATATACCTTTATTGTCGGACCAGAAATCTGTACTAACAGAGATACATAATAATTTAGACAACGAATTCACCATAATAAAAAAATGCTTTGTATGAAGACGTTTCAATTGAGTGCTAATTGAAATTCGATGTGGAGGTTTATAACCTAAACAAGAAAAAATAATTTAATACTTCGATCACAGCAATCAAATATAATTACCCGGTAAAGCTAACTGAATAAATTTTCGAAAACCAGATTTCGAAAAATCGCCGAAACTACGACCATCTTCAATTATTGCTGTTACAACAGCACGATCTAACTGCTTCTTTAATTTAATCGGTATATGTTTATGCTTTGAACGATACACCAGCTTTTCCTTCGGCTTAAATTCATCCAGTTCATGAACATCACGTAAATGTCGAATCAACGTTGATGTCGAATGAAGCGGTGTTGACAGGATCTTCGAACAATCACCAACTAAGCACTTCGCTCTTAAACCTTCATCACCATAGATTCTTTCAAAATAAGCCCACACACGAGATTGTTTTGCAGATCTGATTGTTACAGTTGATTCATTCTTTTCCATACTTCCACCATCATTATGCATACTGATGTTTGCGATCTGAATTACAAAACAAAAAACCCCTAAAAAAATACACAGTAAATAAATCCATTTACATACTTTCATTTCCACCAATCAATAATGAAACACAAATTAATAACGATCTTGTGATTCAACAAACGATGATAACACAGTCACTTGAATTCAAGATGAACGACAAGTGAATTGATATAACTATTAAACAAAACAAAAAACATTATTTATAAGTATCCTTAAATTCATACGAACCTTTTCCTAATATATCAATCACTATAAACTACTCGAATATATATTTATTGATCGATCAACAACAACAAAATAATCCAAATTTCTAAGATATAAAATAAAAAAATCCCTTTCCTTCTACATAAATATATATACCAACTGCTACGTCATATATGATACCATATAAATAACCTAGCACTATAATAATTATCTGATGCTGAACAACACGATAATCGATGCTTCTGAAATATATTTAAAAAAATTCTTTATCAGTTCACATCTATCTCCATACCCACTTATTGTTAATATATAAATAACCACAAATTTGAGAAATACGTACCAATTAGTTGGTGACGAACAACAAGATAATACAAATACCTAAGATAAAACTAGAAAGAAATATTTTTAACTCTACATACATATGTATACTAACTTGTTGTTACTATATGAATAACTATAAATAACGTAAAGATACAGTAAAGATACAGTAATTATATGATGATGAACAACAACAGAACAAAAATTCCTAAGATAGAAGAAAAATAATTATTTATAATGTTACGTATATATATATATCCATGCGCACTGATAGTTAATATAGAAGTAACTACCAATCACGTAAATATGTATCAATTGGTTGATAATGAACAACAAGATAATAAAAATTCCTAACATATAAAATAAAAAATATTTTTAATTCTACACACATCTATACGAACTCCTTGTTACTATTTAAATAACTATGAATAGCGTAAAGCTATACTAACTATATGATGATGAACAACAAGATAATAAATATTCCTAAAACAAAAGAAAAAAATGTATATTTATAGGTTTACATATTTGTCTATACGCACTTATTGTTGCTATATAAATAACTACAAATTTGGAAAATATGTATTAATTCGTTGATAATGAACAACAAGATAATAAAAATTCCTAAGATAAAATTAAAAAGACATATTTTTCATTCTACACAAATGTCTATACTCACTTGTTATTGATATATGAATAACTATAAATGACGTAAACGTCCAATACTTATATGATGATGAACAACAAGAGAATAAATATTCCTAAGACAGAAGAAAAAAATTTATTTATAAGTTCACATATATATCCATACGCACTTATTGTTAATGTATAAATAAACGAAAATTTGGAAAATATGTATTAATTGTTTGATAATGAACAACAAGATAATAATATTCCTAAGATAAAAGAAAAAAATATATATATAACTGTACGTATATATATCCATGCGCACTTATTGTTAATATAGAAGTAACTGCCAATCACGTAAATATGTATTAATTGGTTGATTATGAACAACAAGATAATAAATATTCCTTAGATAAAAAAAAATATTTTTCATTCTACATAAATGTGTATTCTAACTTGTTGTTAATATACGAACAACTATAAATAGCGTAAAGGTACAATAATTATATGATGATGAACAACAAGATAATAAGTATTCCTAAAACAGAAGAAAATAATTTATTGATAAGTTTACATATTTGTCTATACTCACTTATTGTTGATATAGAACTAACTACCAATCACGTAAATATGTGTCAATTGGTGGATAATGAACAATAAGATAATAAATATTCCTAAGATAAAAAAAAATATTTTTCATTCTACATACATGTGTATACTAACTTGTTGTTAATATACGAATAACTATAAATAGGGTAAAGGTACAATAATTATATGATGATGAACAACAAGAGAATAAATATTCCTAAGATAGAAGAAAAAAATTTATTTATAAGTTCACATATATATGCATACGCACTTATTGTTAATATATAAATAACCGGAAATTTGAAAAATAAGTAGTAATTGTTTGATAACGAACAACAAGATAATAAAAATTCCTAAGATATAAATTTAAAAAAATATTTTTAATTCTTCACACATCTAGACGAACTTGTTATTACTATTTGAATAATTATGAATAGCGTGAGGCTATACTAACTATACAATGCTGAACAACAAGATAGTAAATATTCCTAAAATAGAAGAAAAAAAATTATTTAAAACTGTTCATATCTATGGATACGCACTTATTGTTAATATATGAATAACTATAAATTTGGACAATATGTATTAATTGGTTGATAATGAACACCAATGTAATAAAAGTTCCTAAGATAAAATAATAAAATATTTTTAATTGTGCATACATGTGTATACTAACTTGTTGTTAATGTATGAATAACTACAAATAACGTAAGTGTATATGAATTTTTTGATGTCGAAGCAGAAGATAATTAATATTCCTAGGATAAATTAAAAGAAAAACTATTTATAAGTCCACATATATACATACCTACTTCTTGCTAATATACGAATAGTCACAAGTGAAGTGAAAGTATATTGATTGTTAGATGATGAACAAGAATGTATAGTCTATTGCTAAAATGAGGAAAAAAATGAGTGATAGTTATATGTATATGAATACGAACTTGTTGTTGATATAGGAAGAGGTGTAAGTAGTGTAATGTTTTATTTAAGAATTTTTTTCTGCTTAACAAGAAGTTCAGAAAATTCCTTTGTGGAAGCGATAGATGATGGTTACTTTCAGTTGAAGATGAAGAATGAATGTTGATATGAATAAAACATACCCTTAAATATGATGGTGTTGTCAGGAGAATGTGAAAAAGTTATATGGAAATCGTTAATTTGCAACGTTTAAGAGCCTAGAGGGGTTAACAATCGGGCATGTGGTAAAGAATATGCTGTCTAGGCTAGCTGGATGGAATGAGTTATAGAGAAGAAAAAAAAGATAATTTACTATATCGAGATGGTGATATCGACGGAGTGGAGAAGAACGAGCAAATAAAACGTGTTTTACGATTTATTTTTCACGTGGTGTGTTGTGATGTGTAACAAAGTGAAAATGAAGAGACAAGAATATTTAAAACTACGGAAAATTATTTCGTTACTAGGAGAAAGTGAAGCAAGAAGAGAAATATTTCAATAGGAAAAAGAGTGACCAAATGAAAAAATATCGTTTGAATATGCATGAAAAGAAATAGTATAGAATGAAATTTTTTGAATGTTATTGGTTTGTTGAAAAATGAATTGAAGTTTTGTGAATTTAGATGTGATAACAATCGATTCTCACTGATAACTAAGTAGTTAATGATGAATATATAGCGTATAACAATTTTCTATCGATTATAATCGAGTTGACAAGGGATAGTTAGTGAATAACACAAGTTATAGTTCCTATTTGTGAATTTCTTATAAATGCTTGAAGAAATTTTCATTCTATCTGGACTTGTGATAAGAAAAAAGTGCAAATATCTACATTATTCGATTATCATTTATCTGATGCCATAATAATAAAATTTCGAGAAGATTTATTTTCTTGTAATACGTGTCGGTTATTCTAATGTTCATTGAGTATTTTTTGAATAAATTTTGATAGAAACAGGATAGAATGGAGGGTTTCGTTGTTGGACAGATATGATGAAGATATGTGGAGTGATATATAGTAGTTTTTCATAGTAGATTATCTTATGTTTGTTTAATCAAATATCTGAGTGTGAAAAAACTGATTTCACATGAAAGATGAAATGAAGGAAATTTTTTTAAAGGAAAATGTCAGAAAAATGACTTAAGTATTTGACTAGAGTATCGAAAACTATTGAATAATTAGTTATAAACGTATGAATCGTTTGTGGTCTTGCAGATTTTCTATCGATGGCTTGAGCACATACCTGGAAAGTCAGAATTCACCGTAAACAATCCAGGAGTAGGTTTCTTTTCAAATAGGTCAATTGAAAATCTTCAAAAAAAAATTATATAAAAAGAATCTTCCAATACAACACTCGATGTATCTGCATTATTTCTTTCGAGCGATGAAAGCTTCATCTGTTTATCTTATTTAATTAAAACTTATTCGAAAAATATCGAACCGATATCAGTGTACTCGGTATTTATTATAGAAAACTCAGATCTTATTAAAAATTTATTAGTATGATTCTATTTGAACAACGATCAAATTGATGTGAAATTCTCGAGCTTTGTTGTTACTAGAAAGCTATAAAAAAAGAAAATTTCCTCAGAAAATATTTACGAAATTAAAATACTTACGCCACTACTTTCGGTATTTACTAAAAATAATAACTAGATTTTTAATATAGCTGAAAAAGAACGATTTGGTCTGATTAAGATCGAGGTATTTCACTATTGATCGGGTTGAAAAATTTCTGTGGTTGAATTCCTTCCATCTGCAGAAAAGAAGAACAAATTTCAGGTGAACATTAAGTTTTAAAAAGACACATTAAAGATAAAGCCCCGAACACATTCGGCGATTACTATTCTCGTGAATAGAAGATCATTTCGAATAACTGAAGTAAAAAGATATTAGAAAACCCTATCTTGCGAAAATCAATCGTTTTTTAAATTAATTTTTGGTGGTTATTGGATCAGTTTAGCGCTCAATTTCATTATAATATGTAAATTTAGTATAGACAATGTTTTGCTTGTCGCCAGACCTAAGCGTGAGTTTCCAGTTATAAAATTCTTGACCAATAGGTAGTATGATACAACAGACTATTTCAGAATGTATTTCTTAGCTGGACGCAGATATTGAAAGGCACATAGTGTTTCTTTCGACCTTACTCTGAAAAAAGTCTTTATGTCGTGTATATGAGTAAAGTTCTGATTTTAATAAGATCTAAGAGACGTAGTATACACGCCTGTGCAAAACACGCAAAGGGATCTTTCTAAAGTAATAAAATGTTAGATATAATTCCGTTGTA